TGCTCTGAAGAAAATAAACTGTATTCCAGTGAAAGCCAGCTCAAAGGGTAGGGGAAGAAATAAGGAAAAAAATCGTTTCTTTCTAAGGCATATGGAATGCAAGATGGTGCTTTTTGAACAGCTTTGCCACTAAGATTTTATTCAGGGAAGCACTYTGTCATGAATCTATAGTCAGGGAAAGGAATAGTCTGGAGAATTTCCTAACAAATTTATGAATTGCTAGTATGCATGAAATATGAAGGCCAGACAAAAAAAATATTTGTTAGCACAAGCTGGAATATTCACACAGTCAGACAACTACTACCAGGCAATTGCATTAAGGAAGTCAAAAGTTTAAACCAATCCTACACACGCTTAAGAAAATATTGTTTGCTTAAGGCAGGCATGAGCTAGGTATTTTACATTTCCAAATAATTGCAACTCTAACAAAATTACAAGTCTAACAACTGCTGTACCTTAACAATGGTCTAAAGACTTCAAAATTCAGATGAAAACACACATATATTTAATTGCCTTGATTAACTTGAAAAAAGAAATATTTTCTTATATTCTCATGATAAAATCACAGAAAAGTAGCCAAGGTGCAAATTGTCAGTCTCTGTTCAAACTGATTATCAGASAATATCTCTTACTGTCTCTGTAATGCTGTTGCTGTTCTTACAGAGAGTGAAGAACTTTCAAATTTGTTTTTCAATAARTTTTTTCCAGAATGTTCATGGATGACCTAGAAACAAAACAACCCCCACTTTGAGGAACTAGAAAAATCCATTCTTTTTACAAAGGCCCTCTWAAAAAAAACATTATCCCTCCCCCCATCCACCATGATATGCACTGAGATAGAGGGGGAAAAATTATTAAACATTAAGTTACTSATACCTACTGAGAATTTACTAAATTGTGGTAGAAAAAGAGCACCCAAATGGGGAAGGGAGATGTATTTTAAAGTTAGGTTGCAAATGAGAATATTTGTGAGAAAGAATGATCATATGCAGCAATAGAGAGCTGAGRGAGTAAGCAGAGGCTGGTAGCAAAAATAAAAAAAAAAAGCAAAAATAGAATCCTTCTCAATATGAACATAAAAGAAGGAGTRGAAGGTGGGAGAGTTCATTGCAGCAGATGTCCAATATAAAATTTATAATAAAAGTAAAGCATCTGGATTTTACAGTGCAAACATAAAGGTCTGACTGGGTCAGCCCTGGTTCTGAGCACCAGCCTGCTCTTTCACGAATCCTTGTCTATGCGATAATTATAAAGTCAGAAAATATTGCTTAACAATGGAAGATCACAAGTGGGAAATAACTTTAAAAAATATAACCTTAGATAAGTCATCTCAGGTTTTACACAAATAGCCCAACGAACATTGGGGCATGTTTCCAAAAGTTGCAGTTCATTATTGGTGGACACTGAAGCCAAAAGAAAAACTCTGTAACTCTAACTGCAGGTTACCTTTTGATCTGTCCAAAACGATCTTGCTGCTTTGGAGCTTTTTTTTGGTTTGGTGCGTCTTTGCTTTCTGAACACTTTCTGTGAGTATTTGATCAATGAAAATACAGTGAAAGGCTTCAGATGAGAGACTTAAGTCACGCTGTACACTTCTATTTTATAACATATCATTTTAAAGCTAATATCCAAATCTAAGATTCAAATATGAATTTGAATTTTATGCTCAACCAAGTATTTGTGAGGAAAGAATAGGCCATTCTAAGAAATGCCTCTCACTAAAATTAGAGTATTCATGTATTCTAAATTTCTGTATGGTAAGAACAGAGTATCAGCATGTTTAATAAAAGTCAAAGCAATTAAAATATACACACAAAAAATAAGTGGGATAATTTGCCAGCCTCCTTCAGGTGCCCRTGCAAGTAGACCTGGTCCTTGAGAAAGAGTCTTATTTCACATACAAGATTCTCAGACTTCCATGATTCATTCCTTTGTAAACACAGACCCACTGTCAGTGAAGAAAAGGTTGGTGTGTAAACTATTACAGGAGTTTGACCCCTACAAATTGATGGGCCCAGACAATGCCACCCAAGGGTGTTAAGAGAGCTGGCTGACATCCTACTGAGGCTGCTTTCCAGGATCTTTCAGCAGTTATGGAGATCAGGAGACATCTCAGAAATCTGGAAGAAGGCAGCTATCATACCATCTAGAGAAAAGGCAAAAGGAGCACCAAGGAAGTTATACACCCATCAGTCTTCAGCCCCTGGGAAAGTTATGGAATGGATCCTCCTGGGGACTCCCCCAAAGCAGATGAAGCATGTGATTGGGAAAAGCCAGCCCAGATTCAACAAGGGCAGATACTTCTTGACAAGAATGATTGTCTTCTATGACAAAGTCACACTCTGAGTTGATGTGGGGCGAATCCTGGACGTTGCCTTCTTGGATTTCTCCAAGGTTTGATGGGATTTCCTTCAGCCTGGATTAAGGGGAGCTGCAGAGTGGCATCTCCTGAAGGATGGGTCATTTTGAAGAAGGGACTTTTACAGGTGGACATGGGTGAACAATGCTGAAGCACTCAGCAAGATGTGATAGTTAAGGATAAGATTAATATGCCTGCTAAAGTGCAGTTTGTTGTCAGGGAACCCTGATTCTAACAGTTCCAAAGAGTTAGATGCATTTCATGATTCCTCGTGAAGAAWGAACAAGAAGTTTAATATATTTTGCTCTTCTGAAAGTTATTTTATTGAATTATTAATAACTAGTCAACTAAATTCAGCAGAAATATGCAGGATGAAAATATTACCACGTCTGCCACTAGAAATTTCCAGTTTGAGAAATAGTTGATTATTGTAGAGTTAATCATGGGAGAAAAAAAAAAAAGGTGCATCAAGAAAATTTCCTTATGTATTTTTTTTTAACTTCTATTGACAGGCAGTGCAGGATCATCAGATGCTCAGATAAGCAAAAACACATCAGAAAAAGCCAAGTTTAGAAAAAAACCAAATAATTTTCACTGCAGCTGTCAGCCTGCAGCTATTACAAATGAGTAATTTATAAGTGTGTAATTTACAGAATGTGTATGGAAATGCATTTAATGCTGATACAAAGACAGCTTGGATGTGTAATGAGGTTTTTATAGCATATTGTGCTAGATTTAATGTAGGCATGTAGGTACAGCTTCCCCAGCAATCACTAAAGGTTGGTTGAGGGTGCTTTCTTTATTTTAAGCCTGAAAAATGTGCTTTTAAATAGGACTCTAGAAAAAATTTACATAATAATTTCAAATCTGTCAATGTCTATTCATTGGACACCATCACTCTGTAATGYATGGAAGCTACATTAGTTATGAGAGGTTTTTTTTAAACTGTCACAATGCTACTAAGATGAGGAAACTAATCCCGTGCTTAACGCATGGCTGCATCCTTCTGGAAAATAATGAGAGGCATCCTAGGGAGAAAGGGCTACTTACCATAAAATACATTCTCGGTATAGTTCTCCTCCAATATAYATATTTTCTAAAATTTTATTTTTAAGCACATTTGCATGAAAACAGGATGTCTGACTAAGAATGTACTCTGGATTCCCCCCTTCCCTTGGTATTTTAACATCCTCTATGGTGACTAGGGTCCAAATGCTGTCAGCACCTTCCAGCCTAACCTTTCAAACACACCCACTGATTTCCTTGAAGCAGCCCACTGAATGCAGTGCARCACATGCACAGTGTTTGCAGGAGCAGAGTCCAATAATTACTTCCAGATGAATGTATGCTGTAAAGAGAGTGGTAGAACTAGCGCAGCTGGAAGAACAAAATTTCAAGAAACTGAATTCAGCCCAAAGTTATGCCCCTCAACAATTTCTTTGCCTGGAAGAGCTCAAGCACAGGATTTTCACCTGCAAATCTCAGCAGAAACTGATGTTACACAGTCTCAAAGGGAACCTGCGGGAGATAAGAGCCATGCTCTCAAAGAGGTGCAGGCCCTGAAGGGAGGGCTTCCTTAGGGTGCTGCTGACCAASATGGCAAAGCACAGATGATTTATGTCTCTGTGGTATGAGCTGAGACTCCGATCTTTACTGAAATGTTCATTTTTAGCTGAATCCACAGGCTAAATTTTGGTGCAATGTTCTTTCCCTTAAAGATGGCTGCTGTTACTGGATCAAAGCTTTTCCAGCACTCCTTCACCTGATGACTACGCTGGAGAATAACATAAAAAAATACTGATGAAGCACATTAAAGATTTTAAGCATATTTTCTCTTCATTCAGAAGTCACTTCTTCTGCAGGAAATCACATCTCCTTAAATTTTGCTCTGAATAAGAAGAGTTGTCAGGTTGTTTTCACCTGTCTGAGCAAAAGTTCTAGAATTGGGCTGCATTGTCCCCTGTGCTGGTGCATTTTATCTTTGTAGTTGAAGGTCCCAGTACATTGTCAGAAGAGATCCCCATCTGGGGTGTTCACAACCAGTAAGGAAGCATACCCCAGGTTACCAAACCAACGGAAATTTAGCAGAAAAACAAAGGAAGAAGAATCAGGCAGGATTTACTGGCAGGAAAAAGTGAAATTTGATGAGGAGACTGCTCYGTGCCTCTGAGAGATAGCTCTCATTTGGAATTTCAGCACCAGAAAGAGTAGCCATTTTTGGCTCTAGAACAAACCCTTCTGAAAGCCAGATTTTGCTCCAGGTCAGGTACAGGCTTGGAGCAAATAACATAAACTTAACAGTTTCATTGCATTGCAGGGCATGCAAAGCTCCAGTGTACCTTCTGATTCCCAGTCTACCACTCAGTGTTAACAGAATTCAAAAGCTTAAACTAGAACTCATCCTAAAGCACTGAGTTTCATCTATTTCAGGGTTTAATTGGGATTTTTATATACAGTTTCCAGATGGAGTCATAAGTCAGGCCATCATTACCCAACTAAACTTTACCCAAAGGTCCCAGAATTTCAGTGAACCTCCAAACAGACCCCAACCTGTTCAAGTTTCCCATGCAATCTGGAACAATGGGAATTTCCATTCTGTGGCTTGGGGCTTTGCTGATGATCTTTCTCAAAGTGCTTCCTTCATGCACATGCCTTCCTTCTCATTATAGCTTATACCAATCTGAATAAACAGCAATAAATATTGAGATWATTTCATGAAAAGTTAGATGTCATCATCTTCCTCCCCATCCTGTGTTCATAAGTGACCGGTGACATACGGTTGTGTTTCACTCACACCACTTGTCAGAGGAACCTGACAACTAGAGAGAAGCACAAGTCTCAAAGAGAATAAATGTTTATACTGAAACTAAGTAAATATGACATGTAATTTATCAAAAGCATAAATACAAGCAATGCCAACATGTCTTTTTCCTCTAAAATGATATATTTTACTAGAGGGATATTTCAGATTTTTTACTAAGTGCCAAGGTTAGTTTAATACCTTTCTATCTACAGCRTATGGGTCATATGATATCACACATTTTTTGCATCACCAATAAAACAGCCCATTAATCAAACATGCCACCATAACCTCCAACAGCATAAACTGGAAAATGTGCTTAATATTTTGAGTGGAATTATTTGCTTGAAATGCTCTTTTTTGGTATAATAAACATCTGTTAATTTTAACAYTGGTCAAGCACGCCAACAATTATCGTAAATCTCTATTTATGTGAAGACTTCACTAGAAATAAAAAAACAGTCTGTGAATACATTTATCTTCAAATTATCTGATGTGGTTGTATTTATTTTTTTCCATCAGCTCAACTGTGCAAGTTTAGAATAGAGTCATTGTGAAATAATATGTATTATTTGTGTAATTATGATATTTCACCCAGGCTCCATCAGTCTGTAGCGGTCTACTAGAAATCAAAATCAAATTAATACACAAACAGATAATTTTCTTTATAAAWTCTCATATGCTGTAATGAAACATTTGTGTGAGGAAGGAAATTATACACACTGTTCAGAATTCTCAATTCAGCCTTTGGCTTGTAGCAGYTTCAGATTTTGAAAACAGGCATAAAAAATAGGTACAGAATTTACCAGTATTTTAACATAAAGCACGTTAAATAAAGTATATGGAAATACTTTTTRTCTTACACAGAGAAAAGGAGGGGATCTGAATTCTGTTATTATTACTGTGCTAAAGAAAATACTTAATTATTTTCCATACATTTACTTTAATCTCTCTGGCAAACATGAGTGCTCAGATAAATATGGGGTTTGTTAGTCTCCATCCAGARAACAAAACCTCTCCTTTTGTCTAGCAGATTTCATCTCCAGCACTCAAATAGGGACTGAATGAAAAGCCTCGAAAGCATAGGGTTGGTTTTGAGTTGTAAMTAAGTCTTTTTCAAAACAATGAGAAATTGAGGCTATGAGTAAGAATTCTCTAACCAAGAAGAGTTTGACAAATTAAAGCTATCSTTATCTTGCTCACAGGTATTAGTTGTCTGTCATGAAAGTATATCCAAATAAATAAGCATGAAGAAGGGCTGTATGTGTGAGAATAAGTTTGTATCCATTAGCACTGGAGACTTGATTCAGTATTTTCATTAACACAGCTCTCAGTCTCTTCCTCTTTTAGCATCCTGCAAAACAAATAGAAAAAATCCTTTCTACTTAGGGCTGTGTGAGACTAAAACATTCACGAGACACTATCAGGACCTACAATGAAAGGTGCTGTAAAATCAGAGAGAATTACTGCTTTTTATTAGAAAGCACATTCCATTAAAACTCCCCAACACTTTCCATTAAAATTATTATTAGGAAAGAAAGAACAAAACCCAACACTACCACATAAAAAAAAAAAAAAAAAAAAAAAAAAAAAAAANAAAAAAACCACATTAAGGAAGCTTGATCCACTTTCAGCTAAAATGAGAATTGACCTTACATTTTATTCAGTGCACCCAGGAATTTTTAAATTTTAGAAAAAGTTCAATAACATGTTGTTTGTTTTTTTTTTTTAATTTCAGAAGAGTCAGATGTAACCAAAATGAGGGCTTCTTCTGCAAATACTTACATGTGAACTCAGGTTTAGGAGGGTTTTCAGTGAAACAAATTGCTTGTATAAATTCAAGCAAGTGCATTCCTGTCTGTAGACTCAGAGTCCAAGAAACCATTTTTTRCCATTTCTCTGAACCATTGCTCCAAATCTGCTAGCAGTAACAAACTCCTGCTAGCTTTAAACAACTAACTCTCGGTAGTATTATTAAATCTTTTCATGCTGAAAAATAATTCTAAGCTCTGTAGATATCTTAATTTCATGAGAATTCATAAAAAATAATTTCCAAAATATCAGAACAAGAGAGGATGTAAGACTAAAAAGCRTAAAATTTACACTAGGTGTCTGCCTAATGTAAATTTTCATTAGGTGTCAYGTTATCCAGTTATTGTGAAATAATAAAATACATCCAATGAGTGCTATATTTTTTACCTCTGGGTTCTGATGACATGCACAATCTGTTAGAGTAATACTGTCACTAGCAACTCCTGATAAAAAATAGTTCTATTTAATACAGTTGGGTGCAGTTCACTCTCTCCATATTGTAAATATAACCCAGAATATCACATGAGAGCAACTAAATTATATAACTGCTCATGCAAACCTGTGCAAAACCCTTAACAGCCTCTCATAAATCTGGAATGTTCTGCTGTTTCTTCCCCTTCTCAAGCACCCAGACTTGGGTGCATTTCTTTTCACGTATTTTATTTAGTTGTACAGATCTTTTTCTCCACTGCTGTCAGTCAAGGTAGCGATGGGGTGAAGGTTCAGTATCAGTCACCGTGCACATCCGGAAAGCAGAACCTGCAGAAAATCCTTGCCATCAGCAAGAGGGAGAGTTGAGCTGCCTRCTTGACAAATGCTCCTTAGACCTAAATAAGGCATAAAGGAACAAMAACAATGCTTCAGAGAAGCAGTCTGTGGTAGACTGGATTTAAAAAGAAAGTATGGGAGGCCAGCACTCTCAAATGAAAACATTTAAAGTTTTGCTATTGTTCCTAAATAACAATAAAACACATAATAAAATCCCCACTCTGTAGGAAAATATTAAAATTTTCCCACATGAGTTGATAGCACTTCTGATAAAATTAACCGGTTTGGTTTTTTTTTTCCCCCATTACAAAATGGCAGTCCATTAAAACACTCCAGAAATCTGTCGATTTCCATGAACTTTGACCAAAAAACGTAGAACAGTATAATGARTAAGGCAAGGTCCAGGCTGCTAACAACTCCATTTTCTCATTACATAAGTAAATTATGCCATCTCTGTTTTCTCCAAAGCAAYGTTTTTCTCAGAATTTTTACTTTTCTGACCAGCTCGGGTACCCAACATCTGGTAGAGGACATTCATTARGACCTTGCTTCACCTGACCCTTGAACAGCTGTGTCGTGGTGAGGAGCAGGCAGAGATCTCCTGCAATAGCTGAAAGCAAAGGCATGGTTTAAATCCTCCAAGCTCTACAGTTCAGCCTCCCAGATGTTGCAGTGGGGACCTGTTCTGCTCTTCCTGAGGGACCTCGTGCTCTCTGGCTCCTGCAGCTGCCAGTGACACTGGGGCTTTGCTGGAAGGACCTGGGGTTAACTSTAGGTGCCTCAGTGGTAGATGAGTTGGCTGGTGGTACACACCTGGTTTGGAGAATTGTGTCCCAGTGCTCCCAAAAACTCCCTCCAGGACTCTGAACGTGGCCTTTTGTTCTGTGTATCCGAATGARGCAATATTCTGAATGTAACATCTGTTTAACCATTCCATCTCTATTCATATGGATTACCCAYGGTCTATTCCAGGGAGTGTTTCCTGTGGAAAAAATCATTAAGAATTAAATCTTAACCCTTTTTGTTCTCAGTTTTCTGGCTCATCCTTTTGTCCATTTATCTGCTGCTTTGATCCTGATGTTATCYAGCCATACTTAAACATCCTTTTTTATAATCTCCCCAGGTGTTGCTTCTGCCTTGACAGAGAGCACTTAAATTTTCTTTTGAGATACAGTCAGTGAAATATCTCAAATTCRGAAATTATACCAGTAGTGGATGAAAAAAAACATCTGTAGACATGTCTCTAACTACTGCACTGTCATCTACTGCTTTCTTCACATCTTCCCAGAATTTTCAGGTTCAAAAATGATACTATTTTCCTCTTACCTATCTGTTATATCTTCAGAGGTATTAAAAGCTTATCCTTGCATCATAAAACACAGCTGAAACTATTGCATCTAACTTCAYATGTTTAGTATTGGTAAGTACAAGCAGATAACAAAAAAAAAACAAACCAACAATCAAAACAACCCTTTCTGTCAACTGTGTTGGCACCTTGTCAGCCTTTCCAAGCACATAAGGATCTGTATTTCACCATAATTTTGTAGGACTGYAGAAAATAAGACCTAGAAGGTCCTGAGACCCTGTAATCGACCCTCTTGTCAAGATCTGCTGTATTAAAATCTTCCATCTTCCTTTCTTTGACTTCCTGAAATTTCAGTTGTACAGAGYTCATGTCACCTGAAATAAGACCACACCAGTTCACTTTCTGTATTTTTCCCTTTTGTCTTTCATGCTTTTAAAGAAAATTCACAGCTTTTTGCCTTGAGTGCAGGGATACAATACCAGTTTTAGTACTCTCAGTCTGAAGAGTTGAAATAGCTCTTAAGAAACTGCTTTTTTTTGAAGACCAAAGARACTTAATGCCTTGAAAAGGCCTCTGTTTACCTGAAAAACTTTGCTTATCCTTAGTCATTTTCCTTTTTGCTACCACCCAGAAGAGAAAAGCCTGAATTTAAGCTATGCTGTTTTGAGAAGCRTGTCAGTATTTTGACTGTACTCAAAACCTACTCATAAAATCTCTTGATCCCACAACCCAGACCAACATTTGATCAACACTTCTGCATCATATCAAGACATAATGAAACTGTCTCTCTTCTCTCTCTGTACAAAAAATATTTACATATGGCCCTATTCAGCTGTACTCTTTCCTTATTCATTTTGGACTCTATTCCAAAACTGTCCTTTGGTGCTGTTTTAGGGCGAGGAAAGAGGGAAAGTTTAGTAATGTTCTCCATGGACTCTTTCCAATCTGAGACATTACTAGTTTTTTCTTGCTGCCTCTTACCCTCTATTCTGTTGAGATAAACTCTCCCAAAAATATTCTATCTGCACCTTCCTACATGTAGATTCCCTTTTATTCTCAACATCACTCTGTGAAACATCCCTCCCTTGTTTTCAGCCATTTTCATTTGTTTTCATCTCTTATATTTAATTTGTTTCATAGGTTTATTCTTATCATACAAGATAAATCTGCCCTTTCTCCTACAGATATATCACATCCTGCCACCCTCATCATCCTTCCATTTAGTAACAACAGTTGTCTGGGACTTTAAAGAGAAGCTCCCCAATAAAGAAAATAGTTACATGATGCCTAAAGATGATTAAACTTCATCATAAACKTAGTCTGTTTATGTACAGTTAAATGAGGGAGTCAGTGTATAAAGCTGTTTGTGAATTTCAGCCCAGACTACTGTCTGGCACCAAGGAGCATTTCTATCTCGGTGCTTGGCCTTTTGGGGATTTGCCTGTTTGTTTATCCGCTTGCTAAAATTCCCTCTTCTTGAACCTGCTCAGCCCCAAACCTTGCAAAAATACACAACTGCCACCCCCCAAAAAAAAAACCAAAAACCAAAAACAAACAAAGCAACAACATAAACCAAGCGAACAAAACTAAGTAACATCATTTCAGTCACTGGACAATACAAGTTTGGTGAGCTGCTGACTGCAGCTCTGCTCTGTGCCAAAATACTTACAATTCTCTCCTTGTTTGTTAGTCCTGCCTTTGGCTTTCTTCTGCCAGTTCAGATCCATTAAGACCATATATTTTAACAATGATGATTTTACAGTCAAATATACAATGCATGAATTCATGGTGGTCAAACCCAAATGCACTCTCAAAATGCTAACGCTTAGGGAAATAGTCCAGAGGGGGGTTTTGTCATAATATTTATTATAGCAATACCACAGATTCTGTTAGCAAAACCACTGCTGTGTCAGCAAGTTCTGGAAACAATAATAAAAGGAAGTATAAATAAAATACATAAATTTAATTAAAGATTAAATCTTTGAGAGGAACCCCTCCTTATGACAAGTTTTGTGATTTTATCTTTGTGATATATCTTGTTTTTCTCTCCAATTTATATATTTTTTTTTAATCTGGGTGTTTATTTACAAACAGTAATTATTCAAAAGATGAAGGCTTAAAAAGTCACTGGATATGAAGCTATGCATCTAACAAGCAACCTTATGCCTGCTAYAATAATTGTACAAAAACACACCACAGAGGCAATTGGGTCAAAAAATTGAATCTCCCACATTTTTTGGTTRTTACTTTAAAACAGAATTCTTTTTCTATTTTGAAAGCAAGATAACCTTTTATTCTTGACATACACAAAGAAAAACATTTAATAAACAAACAASAAACATTTGAATATATATTATTGCTTTAATGCAAATGTTTATAATTTTGAGATGTTCTCCATGTTCCAGGGCTGCCTTGTTTCAGCACCAGGTCATGTTTTGAGATAATTCMATTGTTTCCTGCAAGTTCCTGTGAAAAGAACTCTGCTCACTTCAGAGACAAGTTACTCTATATCATCAAAGCTGTTGTTCTTACAGATATCCTCAAATAACATTGTAGACCTTGCAGATCCATGACATAAAACTTTTAGGATACTGCCACCCAATTTGAAATGCTTGCTTTTCAGAAGTCAGCCTGCACTGCAAGCAGGTGGGCAGCTGGAATATCTGGGGTCTCAGAGCAGCATGTTCCAGGAATCCAAGGTGGCTACAGATTAGGTGTCTCATCTAAGGTAGGTGACATGTGCCATCCTTCAGAGAARCCTCTCTATGCACTAAGGCTGTAGAGGGTATGATGAATTCAGGGAGAGCAGTAATAGTCCTAATTTTCAGTTAAAAATAAAGGAAAAAAAGAARAAGAGGGGGTGGTTTGTRTTCTGGTCCCAATGTCAGAACAGTCAGCAGCAGCCTAAGAGAAGTGAGTATGCAGTTTTGTGACACCAACCCACTCAAGGATGATATTATTGCTGGGGGGAATCTGAACCTGAGATTACCAGCTCCCAAACAGTGCGATTTCAGTGTTCATGGTCTGATGTCCACTGAGAATTTAATGACCTACTCTGGATCCTCAAAGCTGCTACAAATGTCCCTGAGATTTGAGGAGGGTACTAACTTATCAAGAATAGTCTGTAGAGAGATGCTAGCAGCAGGAAGTGTATCAGATCATTTCATTGCTTGCCTTAAGGGAAATGAGCAGGTAAGATAAAGGCCTGTGAAGTAATTGTCTCCTATTTCTCCTCAATTGTGTGGAGAGCAAGGACCACTGTGAATCTGAAATTGGAGCTTTGCTGTCAGGGCTGAAGCCTGGTTGCCTCCTCCAGGCCTTTGATTTAAACATGCCAGCATAAGCTGCTCATGGAACATCAGAGCTTGATGGGTGACAATGCCTTGTGAAGGATTTGGTGTGAATCATCTCGTGGTGTAACTGGGGCAAGGCTGCAGCTTTGACCGAGGGGTGTGAGCTTGATGTGTGTGAAAAACCCCACAGGTATGGAAGGAGGCCATCAGCTTTAGGGGCCTTGGAAAACCAGATAGATACAGGCAACAAATGTGTTACAGAAATGCCAGATCTCTGATGGGCACCACATTGCCTAGAACAATCTAAAATATCTGGGAGATGAACCCCAGCTGTGAAGCTTGGGCATGTGAATCCCAGTCTCATCATTTCAAATAAAAGATCAATTAGATTCTGAAAGGCCTATCTTGTTAAGTTTTGTGGGTTTATATRACAGAAATAAATAGAAGACTTTAACATGGGAGGACTTATGACTTTATTAATGGGATAATAAAATAATAAAATAGATAATGTGTTAAAACGTTAGTTTGAAGTATGCACAGACAAGGTAATAAAATGGTTTAAGTAGCCAATGTCCTTAAAAGATATTAGAGCAATCAGATTTTTAAAAGCATAGATTTTGAGGCAGAAGGTCAAGATTTTATGCTAATGCATTATGTTAATTAAAAAATTAAATTTACCAACTGACAGATAAAATAAGGTGTCTTGAGTATATTATGGACTGCATAATCTTATATTGCTAAGAAAAAGTATTGGCTTTATGGGCCTTTCTTTGGGAGCCAACCTAAAGTCTGGCAGGACAAGKAAGGAATTGAGAGCAGTTTTCCCAAAATAATTTTTCTGATACCAACCATTTCCATAGGTCCTGTCAAATCAAGGAGATTTTAAATATTATGAGGAACTGAAAACTTCAAATAATTACTTGATTTTCTCAACAGACTGGGAAATGGTATATTATTTCTTTCTCCTGCTGAAGTACACTGTGCTTGCTCTAATAATGTAAAACTMTCCATTGGAAAGTTTAAAGAGGTTTGCAGGTATTTAATAGATGTTTTGTTCACGGTTTCCCACTTAGCAGTCAGCTGATCCTGTTCTCACTTGGCAAGAGGACACATCTTGCAGTGTTTGTGTGGATGCTGGTCACTGCACTGCAGCCAGGAGCAGCTGTGTCCGAGCTCGCCTCAAACCAGCCCGTTCAGGAGCTGCAGCAGCTGGCCACCAACAGTGTGGAGCTCAGACCAGCAAACAGCCCAGCCATTGCCCTGCAGGAATGTTTCCCACGTCACGTTTAGGCTGTCACAGCTTTTGGTGTTGGAGCTCGTTAGCTGAAAATGAATCGCTGTGTCTGTAGTGTAGCAGCGTCATTACACACCTGTCCTGGCAAGAGGAAATCCCTCTCATCCTTTAACAAGAACAGAAACTGCATCTGTTCTGTGAACAACTTCCACTTGGGGAAAAGAGAAACTGTGAAGTCTTACTCTGGTAATTTAGGAAGGTATGAGAAAAATATCCCATGTCAAAGGCAGCAGCAGGGGATGGTGGTTTGTKTCTCTTCTAATACATCCCCTTTGATGGTGCTCTCACTGCGCTCTCACCTACACAGACCTGATCACTGGCACTGCCCCACGCCTGCTGTGCATTCCCCCTTCCTCACAAGCCTCTCCAGCACCTGCCACTGTCTCCAGTCAGCTCCACCTCTCAGCAGGGAGCACYAAGGATCAGGCAAATATGACCCTGACCCTTCAGACTGTTGTCCAGAGAAAGTGGCATTAGTTTTACAACTATCAAGTCATATCTTTGGTATCAGTCTKATGGATAAACACATCATCCTCCCC